TATATTCTATTAATGTATCACCCCCAAGTCATTTTCTTGTTATCAGGCCAGGCGATCTTTGGGGGATTAAACGAGGCTGTCCAGTGCCAGTGATAATTATTTGATATACTCGCTTACTAAGTGTTTTATTATCCCCACCATAAAAGCATCATGCAACCAGGCCTGGGCAGACTGTGGAATGTGAATATGCCAGACATAGGTGCGCTATATTGCAGAGCTGTGTATATCTCAGTACTGAATGTACATAAATACAAATCCATTGGCAGGTAAAACAGCTCCAGTATATGTATTTCATCTGCATATTTAGCTGACTGCCTGGAGTTCAGCTTTAATTGCAATATTTGCTGCCCCGTTTTCAAAAGTAAACACGGCTTAGCTGTCCACCAATTTACCATCAGTGCTTTTCCTCTGCTCTCTCCATCTTTACCCTTCACGCTCTGCCCCGATTGTATATTTGCTGATAGTTGCAGTCTAAATATTTCATCCTGTTTTCTGCATGAGGATTTTTCTTTTTTTTCGTAAGTGATTTTCTTGATTGGCTCTTCCTTTCAGCATCTCAGGAACTCTCTGCAGCATAAATTGGTTTTAATCTGCCTCTTTGCACTTTGTCAGGCGCCCCCGCTGGCAAAATAAAACCCACTGTCCGTCTTTTTTTTTTTCGGGGTGGGTAAAAATTCCCTGCGTCCGCAAGACGTTTGATGCCTTTTTACAGGATAAGTGTGAGGTTTATCTGAGCTCCAGTAAACGGTGACGAGACCCAGGCGGTCTGCTAGATTAATGTTCTTGTCTTGTAAGTAAGCATAACAGCTTTTATGTTTAACAGTGTGACACGGCCCTCTCTGTTCAATTTTAATAATTTCCACTCTCTTATCGAAAGGCTGCACAAAACATTAGGGCTCTTTCCGTGCCGTTAGTGCTTCCACCAGGAGGATGTGGAAAGCTCCTCAGGCATAGGAAGCCAATTTTGGCATTTACCGGTTCAGAGATATCATATACGTCCCTGGAAGGGGGAAAAAAAAGAAAGAAAAGATGTAACGTGATTTAGGCCTGATATTATAAATTGCAAATAGATTTATATTTATTTAGACATTATGTGTACGAAGCTAACCAGACACCCTCTGGACACATTACACAGCCATGCAATCTCCCGCAACAGGCAACAGTGATTGAATACCACTAGGGAGAAGCTCATATTTGGACCATACCTTGCTGAACATGAGCGCCTGCAAACATGCAAGTGCTCTGGGCCACCCGCCCAATCAGCTGCAACCCACCCCGCAGTTGCACATTAAAAAAAGGGCAGAAAGCTTGTGCTGATGTCATTGACCATATTAGGGCAATGTCACTGACCAAATATAGCCATGTGGCCATATATGGTCAATGGCATCACTGCATCCTGCCCCAATGCTTATGTGCAGCTGCGGGTGGGGAATTCCCTGGCCACAGCTGGTTGGATGGCAGCAGAAGGAGCATCCTTCCATGTTCCTTTCATTGAACCTGAGTTCATCCCTAATTACCACCAAAAGTCAACTTTCAGTTTTTTTCCTGATGAAAGCAGAACTTATGGGCATTTAAATATTTACCAGTTCCAAGTGGTAGATATGCTATAAAACCAGCCCTCATTGACCTCTGTAGTTACAAGCATTGTGAAGCAATTCATCCTAAAAGTTCACAGAAAAAGCACAAAAGTTGTTTTGGTCTAGTATTGGCACTCTGATCTCCCCCCTCTTCCTGTGCACCTAACCTGTGTTTACATTGGAGATTAGGAGGCTGCTAATGCCAGGCGGCTAATGAATCACAGGAAATGAAGAAGCTTCTGCTGCAAATGTTGCGGATAAATTACTCCATGGTGGCTGCAGATACAGAGGTCAATGAGGGCTTGTGTTAAGGAAGTTTAATCTGCTTATATTTTGCCTTTCCTGGTTACTCTTTTACCCTCTCATCTACATGCTAATGACATTTTGAAAAAAAAAAAGGTTTCTGGTTTCATTGCATTCCTTATTTTAAACCCAGTGATGTCATCACTGAGTCTCTGTGCTTCTCCATGCAGTGCAGGCAGATCATGGCTGATGGGAGGAACAGGCAGGGTGCTGTACATAGCTTCCTGAAAACATCAAAGCACCCTGCCTAAGAACTGCTCCCAAGAGCCCTGATGCAAGCAGTGGGCAGGGTTATGCAAATATCCAAATGCCTTGATAGGCAAGTGTCAGTCTGGAGGAGTGGGCATTCCTAGGCAGGCTACAATTGCATGTAGACCACCCTAGGTGATGCCCACATGTGATGCTGAGCCCCCATGATTGAAAGAACTGAAATCCAAGGAATGAAAGGGCGGACCAGGGACAGTCAGGCTGGGAGGAAAGGACTGGAGTATGCTGGATGTGCTCAAGCCAGGAAAGGAAGTGGGTTATATCTGAAATCAAATAAAGCAATTTTATCATAAGAGAGGAGTCTGTACAACTATGCAAGGGGTAAGGCTGGAGTCCACCCTTAAAGTATATCTACTGCTTGTGCAAAATATGTTTCCGTCCGTTTTTTTACTACGGGCGGACGGCAAGAGGTTAATGTTGATAGCTTTACCACAGTTCTACTTTAGGGTACAAATAACAGTTATCTGTTACTGCGCTGCTCTTCAATTGAAGCAGCCACCTTTTGAGGATGCTTTATGTGCTTTTCTGGATCCTTGACTAGTGGGTGGAAAAGCTAGCCATTGAAGGTGCAAAATAGTGATACAGAGCCAGGCATTTTTCTGAGAGCAAACTAGAAAGGGGTCACAAACAGCTGGTTATGAAAAGTGCCCCGGGGCAAGAGCATAATTGGGAGCACAGCCATTGTCAAGGTTATTCTATTCTGAAAACCATTCTGATATTGGTAGCTCAACATTCAACAACTACATATACAGTAATGTAAAATACAGGAAGTTGTTGAATGTTGAGCTGCCAATTTCAGCCTGGTTTGCATACATTTCCCAAAATATGTTTTGTCCACGAGGGTTTAGCTCATTGGCCTCTGGAGTCTCCATATTGACAGTTTCTATGCTGCCAAGGGTAACCAGAGCTGAGCATATAAATCAGAGTGTGAAGCAAACAAATAGTCATGAACAGGGCTGTTGCCTCAGGCGGTATCTCTTTGGGTCATGTCACATCTCTTTGGGTCTCTTTCCAGGCAGAGTGTTCTAGGGCTGCTAAGAGCTAGACAGAGATATGTGTAAGGGCCATGCACATTTCTACTCCCAGCTCTTAGCAACCTCGGACACTCTGGCTGGAACCTGCCCAGCTGCTGGCAACTAGTGACATCACTGGTTGCCAGGAGCTGAGCGGGATGCTCTAGCTGGCATCCTGCCTAGCTTTTGGGAACCAATGATGTCACTGGTTGCCAGGAGCTGAATGGAGCACTCTGGCTGGCATCCCGCCCAGCTCCTGGCAACCAGTGACATCAGTGAGCTGGGTGGGATGCCGGCCAGGAACCCATCAACCCCCCTTGACCACCAGTACCCCCTTCCCTGCGCCCCAGGTGTTCTTTATTTTAGGGACACCCCTGGCCATGAATCGCATCAAAGTTAGGGCAGGTAGTGTTCAAGGGAAATCTACAACAAAGAGTTAGACCTAGGAGCTCAAAAACATTGTTTGCCTTGGAAAGTTGATTGCATTGCTCTTAAAAAGGGAGCTTAACTTGCTCTACTGACCTAATCATCACCATAACCAGCTGTAGCATCACACCGATGGAACTGATACCCAATCTACCCCCTCTTCCCCGCTCTTCTTCCCTCTGACCCTTTTCTAAAACTTACCTATGATAACTTTTTGTTAATAGGGACAGACATAGAGCAATGGTACCCACTTTGGACTTTTATGTGCCTTATAATTTGCATACGTTGCTTGTATTGTACCATATATGTATTGTCCCTTTTCCTTGTGAAAACCGAATAAAATATATTGTTACAAAAAAAAAAAAAAGGGAGCTTAACCTATTCGGAAGCCATCTGATGCATTGGTATGGTCAGCAAAGCCCCTTTGGGTGGACTGCGCACCAGAGGGCATAAATGGAACTCTGGCGCATGGATATGAAACCTAGAGTGCAAGGAGACTCAGCATTGGGAGATGGTAGATTCAAGGGGAGAATTAGGAAGCTGTGCCTAGGTGGAGAACATTTAGGAGGATGAGCCAGCAAGGACCATCTAAAAGCTGACTGCTTGACGTCTGGCTGCACCCCTAAAGGCCAGCTGCAACACAGGGGTGCAGTTTTATAGATTTAGATACACTATAAACCTGTTTGCAGTTTATTAAAGAAAAAAAAGTTATACTAAAAAACTGAAAACAAGTTCAAGTGTTCACATCCTTCAGAGTTGGAGGAAGTAGGACAAAGATAAGGAAAACAATGACATTTGTGAAAATTGTGATGTATTTATGCTGCATTTAACACAGAAAACTTGCCCAGAGGTGGAGGTACGCTTTTAAATATCGCTCTTACCAGCTCTAACTGATCTTCTTTATTTCAAAGGGGGTGAGGAGGAATAATAGGGTGACCCAGTAACCCCAAATTTCCTCTTCTGTTCTCTACAGGGTATTGCCGCAGGAGCGCGTTCAAAAGGCGAACACAAACAGAAAGTCTTTCTAACAGTTTCCTTTGGAGGGATAAAAATCTTTGATGAGAAGACCGGTGTAAGTAGATGTGGATCACACGCTGTGACTCCAAACTGTTTAATATTCCCAGAATACACATGTTCTACATAGCAGATAAGCAATAGCCAAAGATCAATAATATTCAGAGTGACTCATGTATGAACAATCATCTTACTGATATCAGGACGGAAAGGCAGTTCTTGTACTTCTGTTGCCTTGCAACCGAGCTGTAGCTGGGATCCATATGACTACCTTAAACCCATTTGTTTTAGTCTACCCTTAACCCTACCATATCTGTATTACATGCTCTGGGTGCCTCTATCTAGATACTGTTCAGGGCCGTCTTTAATATTGATTGGACCCTGGGCAAACATTTCTCAGACCAGAGAGAAGAGACAGCCAGCAGAGAGAGAAGAGACAGCCAGGAGAGAGAGAGAGAAGAGACAGCCAGGAGAGAGAGAAGAGACAGCCAGGAGAGAGAGAAGAGACAGCCAGGAGAGAGAGAAGAGACAGCCAGGATAGAGAGAAGAGACAGCCAGGATAGAGAGAGTGGAGACAGCCAGGAGAGAGAGTGAGGAGAGGCAGGCAGGAGAGAGGAGAAACAGCCAGGGAAGAGCAAGGAGAGACAGCCAGGCGAGAGAGTGAGCAGAGACATCCTGGGAAGAGAACAAGGAGAAACAGCCAGGAGAGAGACAGCCAGGAGAGAGATCGAGAAAAGACAGCCAGAAGAGAGAGCAAGAAGAGACAGCCAGGAGAGAGAGCAAGAAGAGACAGCCAGAAGGGAGAGTGAGGAGAGACAGCCAGGAGAGAGAGAGCGAGAAGAGAGAGAGAGAACACTCATATGCAGGGTCTCAGAGGACTTTACAGGATCTCAGGCGGACTGTGCGGGATCTCAGGCTGGTTGTACATGGTCTCAGGTTTGTCTGTACAGGTATCGGTGCAGGTACATCCCTAGACAATTATAAAAGTGCACTGCGCTTTATAGACCAACTACATATACAATTTAATGATAATCTACCTGTGAAATAAATATAGAAATATGCAGAATCACCCTATGGTGAATAAATACCTATTGGGTATTTTCCCACTATATACAGGTGAAACTCGAATAATTAGAATATCGTGCAAAAGTAATTGCAGTAAGTGCTGCAAAAGGGGCCCAAACCAAGTACTGAGTACATATGCATGCTTGTACTTTTCAGAGGTCCGATATTGTTCTATGTACAATCCTTGTTTTATTGATTGCATGTAATAATCTACTTTTTTGAGGTTGTGGATTTGGGGTTCTTGGGGTTTTCATGAGCTGTAAGCCATAATCATCACAATGATGACAAATCACGGCTTGAACTATCTTGCTTTGCATGTAATGAGTCTCTCTCATATATTAGTTTCACCTTTTAAGTTGCATTAGTGAAATAAATGAACTTTGCACGATATTCTAATTATTCGAGTTTCACCTGTATTGTATTTATTCACCATAGGGCATAGGGTGATTCTGCATATTTCTATATTTATTTCACAAGTAGATTATCATTAGATTGTATATGTAGTTGGTCTATAAAGCGCAGTGCACTTTTATAATTCATTTTTTAGGTGTTATTTACACTTTTTAGCATGGCAGCTAATAGGTTTATTGTTCCATAGCACATATCCTGTTTGTTAAGTTATCTAAAGGTGCATCACTAGTATTGAAAGCACAGGAAGCTTTGCTGCAGCCATAGAACTTGATGACATTTCCTATAAAAATTAGCAATCCTGCTTCAGCAGCATGGATTGAACAGAAGCAATATCAGAAATCTGCTCTACATATGAATGTATTGCACACAGTATATGTATCTGTTGCATACATATACTGTGGCATATATGGGCACTTACTTGGTGTGAAGATGTAGAGAGGGAACACAGCAGGGGTGACAGCTCAGGGCACAATGCAGACTCCCAGCAGGCCCGGTCACACAGGCGCACAGAGAGAAGCAGGGGGCGGGGGCCGAGTTGATAGGGGGCGGAGCCCGGAGTGCCGTCCATAGTGCTGTATGTAGCCTCCTGTCTGTAGAGCTGTGACGCCGTGTACACTGTATACGCCGTGTACACTGGTGCAAGCCCCCTTGCCTACACAGGTGAGGCTGCCAGCCCTGCACGTGTATATCTTATGTGGGCTGAAGGGGCAGCTGCTTTGGGCCCCACAACGACGACTGGGCCCTGGGCAACTGCCCCTTTTGCCCTGCGTTAAAGACGGCCATGATACTGTTAAATGATGCTTCCAACAGGAGATTGAGACAGCTGCCCTATTTTAAAGAAGAACTGCACAAGCCTTTCTGTGTACCATACTGCTATGTAAATAGGAACAAAGCTCCAATGCTGTGCTAGCCTGTAATAGTTCAGTATCTCAACACAACCCAGTGCCCAGTTATTCCATTTTCCTATCGGAGACTTGCTCCACAGTATAAGTAACTAAAGGGTACCTGTCTGCTTGAAGTACCTTACCCAATGTATGAGAAGGCAGTGCAGAGTTTTGCAACACAATATAACAAGGGGGGACATCATTGCATTGTTGTCCCTCAGCAAATGTATAACAATTCTTGTAGCAACCCTTTCCTTTGGCCATGTTTATGGAAAACTCTGCCAGACATGAACTGTTCAGCCTTTAAAACAACTCACTGGTGCATGACCACCGAGCAGAAACTTGGCCCTGGTCTGTCTCAGGAGACCCAGTTATTGCACCAGTGGATGATACCACCTTGGCACTCACCCAACACCGAAAGCTAAAGCCAGGTTCTCAATGACAACCAAACATCAAAGACACCTTCCTGTGGCAGATATGCGTCACTGCACTCTGCAAGCCAGTTGTTATGGTAAGCTCAGAGTACCTGTCGGGTTTACCATTCTCCTCTGAGAATCCCAGCCAGGATTTCCAGAAGATCCGCTATTAATGGATCTCACAGAGTCCAGGCCAGTATGGCTAGTAATAATAAAATATTTCAGACCAGGATTTCCAGTGTACCCTGAGGCTTGGTGTGTCGTCTCTGACTCAGAGGGGTATTTAAGCACTAGCTGTGCAAGGAGCTGGTGCTGTGTCTGTTTGCCTGTTTCCTGTTTGTCTAAAGGACTCATACTTCTGCTGTTTTCTCTTTGCTGACCCGGACCGCCTGACCCTTCTTCGCTTGCTGCCCGCCCTGATCTTCTGCCTGGATCCGACTTTGCTCTTGTCTGCTGCGTTTATCCTCTGATTACCCGTCTGACCACTGTCTGCTAGCTGCCTGCCTTGAACTCTGCCTGGATCTGACTACTGTCTCCTCATTGGAGCCCTCATGTTCTCGTCCATCCCTTGGCGAGGCAACCCTGGGGATCGCAACCTGGTACCAGCAAGCAGCCAAGCCCATCTCCACCATCAGGAGCTCTGGTAAACCCCAGGCTGGTAGTTAGACTCCGCCCCTCAGGGAAGCCCGTATCACCTGCCAGGGGGTGTCACCCTAACACCAGTAGGGATATCTCGGCAGCCAAAGGGAATGGTTAGTAAAGTAGAGGAGGGCTTGACTGTTGACTTAAATCAAAAAGTTAGACTTTGCATATCCAAGTAGAAGTAGAAGGCAAGACACTGGACCCAGTTATTTGGTTCAGTCTCTAGTTAGTTAGGATCAGATTGCCTGAGTTCGGCAGATCTCCATAAAGCAAAGGTCTTCCCAAGGGGTGACCAAACTTGACAAATTCACATGAAGTAGAACCAGAAAGAGCACCAAACATATGTAGGAAGAGTCCAGAACTGTATTTTATTACTCCACATATGTCAAAAAGGTACAGAAAACCAGCCATCATGCTTTGCAGGCCAAGAGTCCAAGATATTATATGATAGTTGCCAGAGCCCTGATAAAAGGATGAGTGTTTGGCCCCCCGAAACACGTTGGCTGTTTTTCTGTCCCTTTTTGACATATTTTGATGATCAAATTGCAGTTCTGGGCTTTCGAAGCGTGTTTGCCGCTCCTTCTGGTTCTACATTATGCGGCAAACTTCGCTTATGAACGGTGCTTTTTAGTCTGCATGTCTTGTGGAAAGAAGGAGTGTCTTTCAAACCGCTGATGGAACGGAATAAACTTACCGCTATGTTTACATGCTTGGGGAATGGAAAGGTTTTTATCAAGATCTCATATCACTTTGGCCAGAGATGAGCTTTAGAGCAATAGCGTTTGTTGGGTCAGTGTTGGCTCAGTGAACCGAAATTGCAGGCTTTTTGATTTGCTTTCTTTGCCCGGCGAGACATAATCTCGAATCTGAGGCTTGTGAACTTTCACACAAAACCACAGAACAATATAAATATTTTGTTCGTGACTCGCATGAGTACTTTTAGCTTCTGTGAACCGAGGGCCAGACCTATTTAAGACAAAAAAATAAATAAAATCAAACTCCGGGAGATGACAGCAGATTTAAAAACGGCAAACTTTGAACAACCGCCATACTGATCTGCCACAAATGGACATTTTTTTTACCTTTCAGACCTTAGCTGTGTTTTGTGTCATTTTAGGACTGTTTTCTTGTACATTTCACAAGCCGCTGGCTGCTCGCGGGCCATTTTTCATCTGTGTTTGCAAAGACAAGCAGTTTTGAACATAAGCAGTTTGCTGTAACATGAAAAGCCGGTCCGCATGGAAGCTGGCAGGGCGATTCAGACAGAGATGTATGATATGGAGGCTGTGATGTACGGGTACAAGCTAGTTCCGCGGCAATAAAGGCCTCGCGGGACCGTCTGCTGCTGCTCACATCTGCTTCTGTAGGGAAACTCCAGCTGTGATACACGGGAACACAATTAAAGAGATTGTAACTCGCATTTGTCTTCAGTTCCTTTCTGTTGTTATACACTTTAAATGTTTAAAGCGACCCTGATGTGAGATCAAGCCACCTCGTAAAATAAAAACCGTTATACTAACCTTTCTGGCAGGCGTTGTGTTAAAATTTCATTGTCTAGGAGAGCTACGCTTTGTCCCTCCCTTCCATCCTTTCCTCTTTATCCTTCCCCACTTCCTTCCTTCCTTCCTCCCCCATTCCTT